AGAGTGTTCTCTGTAGCAAGCTTCCATTTCTTCCCTCATCTCTTTCCAGGCTGGGCCAAGACTTCTTCAATAAATAAATAAATAAATAAATTTTAAAAAAATCAACCACAAAGGGGCTCCTCACACCTGAAAGAAGTGTGTTCACTGCATACGAAATGGAAGACTCATGTGTAGAAAAAACTCACAAGTTTAGGCTTAAAATAGTCAGCCCACGAGAATTAATGTCTAAAACCAAGGAAAAGTAGGGGTTTAACATATCATCTTTGATTTGAAACATCTCTAAACACATTTTTGTTTACCTGTCAGCTTACAATACAAACAAGAAAAAAAAAACACCAGAAGATACCATACAAAAGGAAGGGAAAGGAGCCGTCTCCAACCTTTGTTTCTCGTGGTAGTTCCTTGCTAATATTTTAGGAGGAAGATGACACAAGCCTCACAAGACGACACAACTCTTCTGAAAGAGTTGGGATGTCCCAAAGGAATGCAGTATCTCAGGAAAAAATAAATATAATAGAGGTGGTCTTCAACAGTGGCACTGCCTGAATAGACAAGTGTGAACTCCCAGTATCACCAGGAGATCCACAGCAATAGCACAGGGAAACCACTGAATATTGTACCTAGTTGTGCTTCTGCATCACATCTGCAGGGGACCAAAACAGGCCTAAGACACCTGCACATTGTACCTCACTGCTCCAGTTGGCCCCACCACTCTCCTGATGATCTTTTCCGTGAAAGATTTGCAACAGTAACCCTTTTGTCAACTTGTTAATACCAAGCGATGCCCTTGTTTCAGCTGCTATTCTCAAGGATGTTTTTTTCCCCACAAAGGTAATCAAAAGCAGCATGCACTTTGACAGATGAAATTCTCCGAACACGTGTATTCGGCAAGCACGCTGTTTATGGAATGGCAAATACAAACGACTACACGACCTTGGCTGAAATTCTTCCACTAGCAGAATTTTTACACTGGTTAAGGCACAGAGCTTCTGTATAAAAGAAGCCAGCAGCTTCTTTTATACAATTATACACTTCAAATGCTCTTCATCGGCCTGTCAGCAGCCTCTCATCCAAACCCCAAAGCACAAGACAGCAAAACACAAAAACACATCACTACATTCAGATGAATTTTATGCATGTCAAAAGTTAGGATATTTTAAAATCACGGAATGCCCTTTACAGAAGGACAACACTATTCCACAATCAGCTCAAGATCCTTCACAATTCTTTCTGAAAGCATTTGAAACTTCTCTATGCCCCACATAACAGACTCAGCAAAGACAGGCAACCCCATCTGCTAAGCATAACACTGATTAAGTGTTTAAGTGGGAGCTCCAAAAAAATGAAGACTTTTTTTTCCCCTATTTAGTTCTGGAAATCTTAATCTACCAAATTTGAACACAAATAAAGGTTATCATACTGACTTTTACAACTTCTGCCATCCCTGATCACATGCCAAGCAAAGGCCTACGGTCTCTTTGGAGGAACATCACCAGCACTTAGAGCAGATGCTCTTAGAGCTACTGAACAGATGTCCCAGGGCAAGGCAGCAGGCACAGATGGCATCCCTGCAAATATATACAAAGTTAGGGCTGCCCTCGAGTCAAAACACTTGTGCAGCTGCACAGGATTGCATGGGATAAGGTCACAAAACACTGGGAGCTCAAGGATGGAAGCATTGATGGAAGCACCCTGCACATGCTACAATAATACTATGAAATCAGGTCTCAAATGCTGGAAAAAAAATACTGCATTCATACGAATCAGATGTGCTCAGAGTGGTTACTGGACAGAAGCTTCAGGGAAATTCTGCTCAAGGCACAATTTTTTAAATTTTGTTTTAAAGAAAAGCAAATCCAAGGAAATCTCAGTGCCCAGCCCATTTGGTGTCATCAGTTAGAAACTCAGGGAGTTGCAACACAAATCAGGCTACTCAGAAAAGTCTGTGCACATCGTTTCTTCATTTCAAGAGAGCATCCTAGCAAAACAGTATCCTAACAGTTAATGGCCTCTAATTACAAATTCTGCTTCAAGCAAGACTCTGCTTTGCTCGACATCTTTGCAGAGACCCTCCTTGATATGCTCACAGACAATAGCAAAGGGGTCCACATCCATCATCACGCACATGTCGGGACTCCCAGTCAGCAGAGATGGTGTGATGAATCACAGACCATGACGCTTTCGGCCTCTTGCTCGCTTCCCACCCCGACGGGGCACTGCTGTGCACACAACGCACTTGTTCTGCTTGTGCTGCCAAGCAGCTCAGCGCAGACAGCAGCAGCAAAGACACTGAGCTCTTGTTCTGGCTCTCCTGCGGTGGGGAGCAAACTGGGCCAAGAGCAGGCAGTGGCGACGCTCTACTAAATCCTGCAAATAAACAACTGGCAGCACGATGCCCCAGCCCGTCATCACGGGTAATGAAGTTCGTAGAGCAAAAGCAGAGCCTCCGAAACCAAAGAGACTTCAAACGCAAGTAAACACTCACCTTGCAGGTGTCACTGCTGTTCTGGATGGATGCAAAGACCTGAATGAGTTACACTGCCAAGGCAAATCGCCACTTCCACAGGCACTCTTCCTCTATCTGAGCTACTATGAAGTGACAAGCCCAAGCTCTGAAGCATTACAGCATTGTCACACTGGTGTTTTGAAGAAATCCTCCTACACAGTAGTCCTTTGCTACATATGCATACCTGTAAACCATACAGTGCTACTACTTTGCAGTCGGTTTAACTGCAGATTGAGAAGTTGCCCTGTGAAATCATACAGGGCAAGTTTATGTGGCATTGAAGACTTACTGCTGCGGCAGAGATTATGTACCGATACCATCAAAGCTTATAAGCAAAACTACACTGACACCAAGCAGCATGAAAGGCAAAAGGAATAGAAGAAGGATCATCTGCAACACTGAAGGTATCTTGAAAAATCAGATTATTTTTCTATCACAGAAATTGAAATAT